AAAAACATCTTTAAGGAACTATTTTTATTCATAAAAACCTCCATTTTTGGTGGTATTTTCAAGTCGGTCCAGCTCGCTTAAATCTTACTATTTTTCCGAAGTATTTTGGTGGACGTCTTAAAATATAATAGATTTTATAATTCCAATGGAAAAATAGTACCGATATTTTTGAAGTGAAACTTCTTTAGCGGCAGTTGGTTGGTTGGGAGTAAATTGGCTAATTCAACGGAAATTGCACTCGGAAATGTTGCAACGGAAATGGTGATATTCATCAATTTTTTATCGATATTTTTATCGATTTTGTGACTTATCGATATAATAATCGATATGTTTATCGGTTTTGTTATCGATATTTTTGTAGATTTTTCTATCGATAGTTTCGAAACTTATCAATGTAATAATCGATATTTTTACCGATTTTGTGATCGATATTTTTAACGATTTTGTTATCGATATTGTTATTGGTTTTGTTATCGATATTTTTTATCAAATTTGTTAGCGATATTTTTATCGATTTTGGCAACGATATTTTTACCGATTTTGTTATCGATACTTTTATTAATTTACTAATCGATTTTTGTTATCGATTTTGTTATCGTTTACTTATAGATTTTGTTATCGATATTTTTATCCATTTTCTAATTGATTTTGCTACTAAAATTATTGTCGATTTTGCTATCGAAATTTTTGTCGAATTTGTCATGGATTTTGTTATCGATATTTTTATCGGTTTTGTGATCGATATTTTGTTGGATATTACTATCGATTTTGTTAGCGATAGAGTAGAAAGAAATAAATGATGATAAAGGAAAACAGAATAACATAAATGTAAGTAGAACGAACAGGGTTAGAGGTAGGAATATACCCGTAGATAGAAAAAAGATAAAAAATATAACCTTAAGCAAAAGCTGATGTATGTATGTACGTGCGTATGTACGAAAGTTTCACTTCTCCAGTGTGGCCCAGGCGCATTTACTTTTTTTATATGGGGAGTGATGCAGGCTAGAGTAATACATTAAATATGTATACTAATTCATGAAGCCAAGTTATTCGAGGTAAGTTAAATTCAGGAGAGACCGATTTCCCTGTTTTCTTTTTCGAGTGCTTATATATTTTACATTTTACAATATAAATATGTTCATATACTATACAAAATTCTGTTTTTAATAGAAAACTATTTTCGGCCCCTTATAGATATAGAGCTACAATAAATTTTATTGATTTTTAATACACATTTTGATACTCTCCGTCTTGAAACCGATTAGCTAAAGTCCCTTTTGGATTTTTAACTTGTCTAAAAACTGTAATATACAGTTAAAACTGTGAATTTGGTAACATTGGTTGTAGGGGATATGCTGGCCAGTGTTCGGACAAAAAACAATATTTTATTGGTAGATTAGCCTGAAAATTTTGTGGTAGATTCCAAAAGAATGTGGTAGATTTGCATATATTTACATGCACAAGGAATTTTTTTATATTCTCAATATTTTTCTTGTTATTTTTTTCGTACATTTTTTATTAAAAATGTACTCATTATTACAACAAAAACCACAGTAAAAAACTTGGCATAGACAATTTTAAAACTCAACAAATTTCATCAAAACTATCGATTATCTAAAAAGATTTATAAAAAAAAAATAAAAACATGTTTATTTTTTCGATCTTGGTTGACTTTTTATAGGAAATGTGCGTATACAAGTATACTTATACAATTGAAGATAGCAGAACAAACCAAATTATAAAAAAAAATAAAAAATTTGGTAGATTTTACCATCCTGTCATAGATGGGCACACTGCAGTTATATTAATTGCACCGAAGATACCAGTAATCAGTAAATTTTTAATGATAATGAAATTTACCTTTCACTACCTTACTGATTACCAGTGTTGCCACACATAGGCTTTTCCTACTAAAACTGGTAGATTTGTTTCCATTAGGGAGGTGGGTAGACTAGATTGGATTTCGGTAGGGTTCCACGACAACAATATTTATTAGCGAAAAATATAAAATATGTATCTCTAAACATTTTAGCAACCTTTTTTATACGAATATTTCACCGAAGTGTTCGTATAACGACTACGGAAAACATGTAAATATACCTGATTCGTAAGTACAAACGTATACCCTTATTACTTCCAATATATAATATGAACATCCATATATACTTTACGTGCAAGTTAATTCAAATTGCACTGAACCACAAGGTTGTGACAAACTACATACATACATATGTACTAAGGAAAAAGGACTTGTCAATAAAACCACTAAAGTCCTCCTTTGTCCCATTTACCCAGGGACCGTAAATAGCAGTTATTTTTTTAAACTTGGCCAGATATTTTTTAAGTTCGAAATAAAAGTCTTTCCGGATAGTAAACAAACCGCTTATACAAATTTAACAAAGTTGGTACCAAATAAAAGAGGACTTACATATATAGCTCTTAAACAGAAATAACGATCGAAGGCTACCACTTATATTTATATTTTTTTTATAATTTAATACAAAAGAAATGCATATACCTGACCAAAGGTTTGTTCTGTGGTAATTAAAAAACATTTTTTATTTGAATATTTTTCCATAGCTGGCTTTAAATATTCCAGTTTTAAAGCTATTTTAGTCCTCTTTCAGTTAATACAGAACTCGTTTAATTTGGATAAGCGGTTTGTTTAAATATTATTAGGAAATGACTTTTATTTTCGACTTAAAAATACATATATAAAGTTTAGCTGTTGAAAAAAAGTGACTGTAATTTACGGTGCCTGCATTTGCCAAAAGAAGGAAAGTCAAATTGACTAGACCCACCTTGGCAGTCACAGAAATATAGTTCTCAGAAGAGGCGAAGTATCTAGGAGTAACTCTGGACAAAAGGCTCAATTGAAACCTATATCTCTCGAATGATACCAACAAGGCTACAAGGACGTTTATGCCTATCAGAAATATCATAGTAAAACTTAAGGAATGTCACCCAAACTAACGGAGATAAGAAAATATATTGTTAAAACTTGTAAATATGTGGTGCGTTTATAATTTCGACATGGATTTTGGACGGAAAAAATATTAGCCAATTGAAAATGTTATAACCTAAAATATAGGCATTTTGTATCTATTACAAAGGGTGAACACTTTGTTAAACCGGCATATAACGAAAAAATAAAATTTTGAGAACAAGTAAATTTTTCTTTAAAAAATGCGCAGGCTAGACACTAATTTCCGACTTATAGTTTCTTCTACATTTTCTCTTAGAATTATCTAGAGAAACCGAAAATTTCATTCGATTTGTCGAAAAACTGTCTTCTGAACAATTTGACTACCTTAATTGTACATATTTTAAAAGTTCTATTTTATTACAACGAGATGTATAACATTTTTTCTTGCCAAAACCAGGACATTTTGCGTCCCGGCATGTGTTGCACCGGGACCGGGACATAGCTCGAAAATCCAGGACAGTCCCGCTGAAAACGGGACGGTTGGCAACTGTGGCAGGAACGGAGGGCAAAACTGTTGGGATTATTATTATTTTTATTATTATTATTATGCGAAACTACATCTATTTTTCGTCTCTCCTGATCAATTTCAAAAAATGGACTTGTCACCAGCGTTGCCAGGTTGATGTTTTTAACGTCATTTGGACGTTTTTTTGTGTAAAAATTGTCGTTTTTTAACTTCCCAGTAATTTTTATCTATGTACAGTGCATTCAATGTATAGCGTTCTATTTGCTTGTAGAGTAAGTACTTACGCTCACTCTTTCGGCAAATTTGTTACTAAATCTTGTAAGTACAACTGATGATTAATTTCTTAATAAATCTGTACAAGCTTTGTTTTTTGCAGTAGGTGCCTCAAAAGATATTTATTCTTTGGGCACATATGACTTAAATATGATGCAAACCAAGCGTACGCGCTTTTTTTTTATTCTTGGACCAAGGATCCCGCATTCAAAAGCTGGTTGTGTAAACACTTGAGGTTACAAGGCTTATTACAATGTTTGCAATTGCATATTAAAAGTCAAATCAGGTAGAGCCGATCTATTGCAACACGCACGCTCTCAAAAGCACTATGTTCCTTCTTAGCAAAACGTAGTTTAGCAATTTCGACAACCGACCACCTAACCAAATGTCTACAAAAAAAAAAACATTAAAAATCAACGCAATTCTTTAGCATACTCAAAAAAATTCTAAAATCTGAATAAAAACTTTGAAAATCCAGCTAATTTTTTCACAAAGTTTGAAATGTGGATTTATATTGTGTTAGTTATATAATGAGCTAGGATTTTATGAAAAAATAATAAACATTAAATAAACAAAAGAAAAACAGCCAAAATCGATCAAAATGTTGATGACTTAATCAGCTGATCACAAGTGTGTGTATAAAATGATTTTTATATTAACGATCTCAAACCAGTTTACAATAGTGGTATTCACCAAATTGTTGTCAACAGTCGTTGCTTGAGCTCATCTGCTGTTTGCCAGAGTACCAGGCCACTTGCTCGCTTTGGTGAATACCACCAATGAATTTTAAATGTGCTCTGTCGAATTGACATTTTAATATACCTTACGTACATGTGTACCTTTGTATACAACAAAAGTTTAATAAGAACAATTCCGTGTGCATACAGGGAAAATACGTTTTTGGGTAGGAAATGACGTTTTTTCAGACCAAGAGGAAGTTTTCTCATGCCGAAGACCTGGCAACACTGCTTGTCACCTTTTCACCTTTAAGTGCATACAACTAATATAAAAGTTTTAGCCGAATCGAAATTATAAAGTCACAAAATGTGTACGATTTGTAAATAATGACCCCAAGGCCTCTGAATTTAACATTAAAAAAGCCGCATACCTTTCATGAACATCAGAAAAGTTAACTTCACTATTACTGCATTTTTATTCAGTTGTTTGGGAGCTACACATTAAAATAAATTGATTTTCATTGTGAACTTTTAATTTATGGCAAATAAATAGGGTAAACAAATTTTTGACCTTATCTACTGGGATAGAAGACTTTTATATACATATTTGTATGTATATCAAAAATCCATATCTAAACAATCACTCGCATGGCAGATACATATACCATACAAAGCGCCGATCTTAATGATTTTGACAGTGCTTGATCGGTAAGTGAAAAAGTCGCAGAATTTCATGGTTTAAGCTGCCTAGTAACTAGTCATGTCATAACATGATGCTAACATGATGATGCCGCAAAATTTACCGTTTAGTAGCCTGTACTCGCCGATTATTAACATGCTGCCTTTTTATATAATCATGCAGACCTCTACTGCCTCCATAAAGGAATAATATCTGAATAATCAGTGATCATAAAAACCTCCTCAAAGTAAGCGCACCATTTGCAAACAAATTTCCGACAGGCCCACATGACGACAACCACTGCAGTTGCAATGACGTCGACACAAGGTGCAATAGAACGGCGCCAACCTAAAGGTATAAAAGGCGCAATTTCACTAGCAAGTTTTTCATAAAATCCACTCTCGCCGTAGGTCTAACAACTATTCCATTCAAAATTTAGTTCAATCAAATTCTATTATAAACAAAATTACATATTTATAAACAAAAATGACACTCGTGCCGACCACTTATGACGGTTTCGCGCGTGAACTCGATCGACCGCGTTACTATTCACCGTACGATTTTCAACTTTACCCCTATCTCTGGGATGATACAAGATTGTGGTGGCCCTCTTCCGATCGCCTGCTTCGTCCACTAGATGACCTGGTTACACGTCGGGTTCGCAATCAGCTAATACAGTCATCGTTACTAGATTGGAGATATCCGATGCGTTGGGATAACTACTATGCTGGTGAGCGAGTGCACGTAGATGAAAAGGGGTTTCAGGTGGACATCGATGTGCGCCAATTTAAACCGCATGAAATCGTGGTGAAAACCACCGATGACTATGTGATTGTGCAGGGAAACCACGAGAAGCGAAACGACGGAAATGGACTGGTCGAACGACATTTCATTCGAAAATATTTACTGCCACGAGGATTCAATGCCAACGATGTGATTTCCAATCTATCATCAGATGGTATATTGACAATCAAAGCTCCACCTCCGCCACCAACAAAGTACTATACTCCGAATGAGCGTTTGGTACGAGTGCATGAAACAGGTAAATTGGCGTTGCCCTGGAAATGAGAAAATCTAATAAAAGAAGACTATTTATGGATGTGCATTATTGCAATTAATTGTGAAAAATATATATATATATATTTATATAATTCGAGATGTGAGTGCACTTTGATTCAACGTGCACCAAAAGTCAAAAAATAGATTTAATACTAGATATATATGTAAACAAACAGTTTGAAAATGCTAATAAGTACAAATGCAAAATAAATGAGTCATAAAAGTTTATTTACGTATTTTTATATGTGTCTTAT